ACGAGTAATAGCCATTAGGTGACCTTTAACCGTCATCACATCACATAGAAGAGCCAGATGCCGGTAGTTGACATAAGAACCATCAAAAGAGATCACGTGGTGCATCTCCATTTCTATGGCTTTTCGAACTGCTTCGATTCCCAACGCCTCGAATATTTCAACAATGTCATTGCTAACAGTCCGCACGGGGTCAACATCTCGTTCAGCGAGCACCTTCATCAGACATGTTCCATCGGTCTCCAACATCCACTCGGCGACACAATCGAAACTACCGTCTTCTCGAATTATAACACGTTGCTTGTCCTGCGTCTTCGGGAAGTGCATATAGACTTTAGTTATTTGTGGGATACCCTGGAGAGCAATGTCTGTCAGCAGATTGGCTTCGATAAACCGCAGGAAGGTATCGTCCTCCATCTTATCTGCAGTTGAATCAGCTTCTTTTAGGTCCTTTTCCAAATCACTGTTCATAATTCGGATTCGCATGGCTAACTTCAGATTATCGTCAGGGATGTGGCAGATCAAGTCGTTTCCAAAAGCTCGAGTAATTTTGTCAGCAATCTGTTCCATTGTCAACTTCTTGCCTGTCATGCCCTTACGAGCAAATTCAATTCGCAGCATCCACGGGCTGATGGCGTTGACGTCAAAGTCAGGAAGTTCGTAGTACGTAGAGACCCACTCTCTATCTTCCTCAACTACACTATTCTTGGGGTCAGGATCATAGTAAATGGATGTGCTGTTAACCAGTTTTCGCAGTGTTGTGTGTTCTAGGCGCGCAACAACATCTTTGGCTCTCTCGGCGTCTCTGGCAGCCTGTCCCGTGAGAAAAACGGTCATTGAAGGTGTCTTGGGACGCTTACTGACGTTGATGATTTCTTTAAGACGGGGCACACCAAGAGTGACGTTCTTTGCAGACACACCGGCGTAATGGAAAGTGTTTAGGGTCATTTGTGTGGCCGGCTCACCAAGTGACTGCGCAGCCAGTGCACCAACCATTTCACCGGGGTGAATTTGAGCTTGTTGAAAACGGCTGCGGACTTCTCCAAGGACCCAATCAAGTGCTTCGTATGAGAGACGATGTTCCTCTATTACCTTCTTGGCACACAAAGTCGAGCGGATTAAACACGACATCAGGATAGTGGCATTTGTGTTAGCCTCCTTGCTGAGTGAGTCTTCACCTGGAACAACAACAAGCCGCTTGCATGTTTCGCGAACTTGTTCTACAACCTGACGGGGATGCAAATTCGTCTTTGAAAGTGTGTCAATTTCAAATAATTTCTGTGCGTTCCAAATAAGGCGTGCGATATTGCAGGGCAGTACGACACGATCCTCGGGTTTCTTAATGATGGAGCGCAGTAATTTTCTATCGGAGCACAGAGTAGACCATTCAGCATCAAGCTCCGCCTGAGTTTCGGGATCTGTCGCCAGGCTACGGACCATGTCATCTGGCATGCACCGACGCAGTGCACGTTCATTATTCACGTCAAACCGGAAATTGTGCTCAAAGGCGGCGTCGGATGGCTTGAAAGACGGAAGTCGCTGGAATTCTACATGAGCTGCATCCAGACCATCTTCGCCATAGCGCAGCTGAATAAGTTGATTTATCTGATTTCGAACGGTGCCATCGTATTTGACCATAACAGATTCCATAGCTTTAATAAGACGACGCTGGATGTAACCAGTTTCGGCTGTCTTCACAGCAGTATCGATGAGACCTTCACGACCACCCATGGCGTGAAAGAAAAATTCAGTGGGTGTCAGACCAGCAAGGTAAGAGTTCTCTACAAATCCCCTGGACTCGGGACCATAATCATCTTGGATGAAGTGTGGTAGAGTTCGATGGCGGAAACCAAAGGGAATTCGTTTGCCCTCGACGTTCTGTTGACCGACACAGGCAATAACTTGCGAGATATTAATGCGCGAACCCTTGGAGCCGGCGACGACCATAATGTTGAAGTTGTTATACTTTGACAGGGAACGCTGGGCACAACTACCTGTTTTATCACGAGCGTCATTAAGGATTTTATTGACACTATTCTCGAAAGTCTGACGCAGAGTGTTGCCAGGGGTTGGCTGGAGGTCATAATTGTGGGCTTGATCAATTATTTCGAAGACAGCATCTTTTGCCTTTGTGATGGTTTCGCCAATTTGCTTTCGTGTAGCTTGGTCGTAAAGAGTGTCGGCAATACCAATCGTATGGCCTTCAAGAAGCAACCAGTTGTTGATGACAGTCTGAATATTGTTGAAGAACATTCCAACCTCTTCGAAGTTGTGCTCGAGTGCCACAAGATGAATAAGTGATCCTGATGCCGAACCCAAGGTCTTCTTGCACAAGATGCCGCAAACAAGTTCACCATCGTCAATCAGTACCTTTGTATCGCCAGGAGATAACCATCGATAAGGGCCACGGTCCTCATCCTCTGGATGCATACTGTGTGTGCGGAT